CCCCAAAACCCCAAAACCCCAAAACCCCAAAACCCCAAAACCCCAAAACCCCTAAAGTGATGTAAATATTGAATTTTGATAATAAAGTTAAAGTAACCCTATCAATGGCAGTACAAGCCGATGCCAGCAGTTCTGATCTTCTTGAGACTCTAATAAGTGAGGTTAGAAGTCTCCAGAATGATGTCAAAGCCAGCCAGGTTGATTACACTAACAGACTGAGGCATGAAGACCACCTCATCGAAGGATTAGAGAACGAGAGTGCAAAATTAACAGAGGGGTTTAGCAAAATTCATGATTTTATCACTCTGATTCCATCCTATCTTAATGGAGATGAGGACTCTCAGAAGCTTGAGAACTTTGCAAAGCCAGCACATAGGAAAAGAAGGAAGAAGACCCGAGAGCTAAGTCATAAATACTCAATACTTATGACTGATGAGCCAGGTCATGTGGCCCAGCCTAAACAAGCCCTTCAGGCGACAGCTGAGGAGTCTGCTTCAGTAGAGCACCAGTTGGATGATTCAAAGCATGAAGCGGCTCAAGTGGAAGAGACCAAAGAGCCTGAGTCTCGGTATAAGGTAGACCAAAAGCTTTTACAGGAGAAGATAGATTTATTCGAGCAATACGCTAAGAAGGATGAATGGAGTGAGGTCACCACTCGAGGAGATTCCTTTGTCGGGTCCTGGGCAGGCGACAATAATCTGACTGGCTTGTACGGCTCAACCATTGCGAATGGGTGCTTTGAAGAGCTAATGGATCTCTGCGGTAAGCTTTTGTTACTTATATTCAGGCAACATAGAAGAGGTCAGGAGGTACAACTCCCTTGTGGATACAATCACTGTTTTGGAAGATATAGATATGGATACCAAAGTAGCCTTCATGCGGTTTAAAGGAATTCTAATAGTTTCAGGTCGAGAGTTTATGGTGCTAGTGAAAAGACATACAATGAAGGATGGCTCTCAAGCCATCCTATCTTATAGTATTGATGATTATGATGATGCTCCTCCTGAAACTGGGCAATTCGTAAGAGCTCATATGGAAATCGGGGGTTGGTATCTCCATCCACTCAAGCCTGAAGAGTTAACTCCTGATGGAAAGTTAGATGATTGGGAATCCAAGAGTTATGTAGCAAATTTTGCAATCAATGATCTTAAAGGGTCGCTCCCTCAATTTGTGATTAAGGCATCGGCATTCACACAGCTCAAAGTTCTTAATGGGTTTAGGTATTTTAATTTGGCAAGCCAGTGCCATAATTTTTTATAGAAAACTAGTAGACACGAAGAGGGAAGAAGGAACTCTCTTCACTCGTGAACAGTTTGAAGCTTTGTTCAAAGGCAAATCTAAGAAGTATCACAATCTCTACTTGGAAGCAAAGGAGATTATTGCTAAATCATGGGAGGATGAGAGCTAAATATGTTCAATTTAGTCAATCTTTAAAGGGGTTTTGGGGTTTTGGGGTTTTGGGG